GACATGCTGCTCCATGTGCTCGCAGCGTGCAAGGCTGGTGGTGGTCTGCTCCCACAAGAGCCTTGATTTCCCTCTCCTGCCTCTTGCATCCCACACCCAGCCGTGGGTGCTCACCCGTTTCTCCGCCTCTCCCAGGCCAACCTGGTGGCAGCTTTTGAGCAGAGCCTGGTGAGCATGACGTCCCGCCTGCGGCACTTGGCTGAGACTGCCGAGGAGAAGGTGGGTGTTGGCGTGCCAGGTGGGCGTTGGGGGGCACTGGCAGTGCAGCTTATGGGGCTGGGGGGATGTGGGACTTGGGGTGAACCTGCTGCGACACTGCCCGCCCCAGGGGTGCTCTCGGGGTGGGCCCTGCTCTGTGGCAACACACTCTATGGCTCTGCTCCCCCAGGACACGGAGCTGCTGGACCTGCGAGAGACCATTGACTTCCTGAAGAAGAAAAACTCGGAGGCCCAAGCTGTCATCCAGGGCGCCCTGAACGGCACCGACGTCACCCCCAAAGGTAACATGTGGCTCCGCCCCCCTGGTTCGCAGCCCTTTCTGAGCCCCCCGTGCACACTCAGGTGGGCTGCTCCTGCCTGGGGCTTGCACAGGGTCCCCCTTGCTCCAGTGAGGTGTTCTGATGGGAGGCTGGGTCTCCAGGAAGCAGCTTTTCCCCTCCTGGGACCCCTGAGCATCTGAAGCCAGGGTTGGACAGCCAGAGCTGTCACTGCAGGAGGTCTCGGCGCTGGCGTGTGGGGGTGACGGGACAGTTGTCCTACCCAGAACACCTTGTCACCGACCCCTTTGCCAGCAGCCTAGTTTTGGCTGCTGCTCTTGGCTTTGTTCCCGTGAGTGCTGTTTCTAGCCCCAAAACCCCAAGGTGCTGGCAGGGAGGTGGCCTGGCACAGGACAAGAACGATGTGTCCTCTTGGCATCTCCCTGCGATTTGGGGTCACTGTCGCGAATGGCGGAGCCCATGTGGTGTCTGAGCCCTGTGTCATCTTACGAGGTGGCTCCAAGAGCTCAGAAGGTGTTTGGGTGGGAGAAGGGAAGGGGTGCAGGGGGGAGAGTGTGGGTGGCTCTGGCATTGGGGCAGATGCAGTTTGCTGATACCTCCTTTCCTGATCTCACCCTCTTCTCTCGCTGGTCCCAGAGCTGCGCATCAAGCGACAGAACTCCTCTGACAGCATCTCCAGCCTCAACAGCATCACCAGCCACTCCAGCATTGGCAGCAGCAAGGATGCTGATGCCAAGAAGAAGAAGAAAAAGAGCTGGGTGGGTTGGACGGGGCACTGGCAGA